GAAGCCAATGCAAACTTGCCCATATATTTTTTTTCCCATAGGTTTTGTAAAATTGCAAAGAAATATAAAGTTAAATTCTACTGTTCTTGATTTTCCTCTGAACAAAGAAAGATGCTTGCAGAAGTGGACGGGAATCCTGATATAGCACACAGACAGACCACTCTTCTCAACTGGGGCAAAGACGATTTCCTGGACCTCTCTTGCCCCAGCTGTCTCCTGGGACCCAAGTCCACTGCCTCTTCAGTGAGTTAATGCTGTCCCTGCTCCCTCAGGCCCACATTGGAGGACACAGGCATCTCTAGCTCACTGTCGCTCCCTGTTCCTCAGCACTGATTCATTACTTTATATAACAGTCACTTACATAACTCTTACTATATGCCAGAGACTGTTCTACATGTATCCCAAATATTAGCTAATTTTGTTGTCATGACATTCAATATTATCTCCACTTTATCCTTGTGAAACTTAGACACAGAAAAAAACTTAAGGAAAATATATGTGTATTTCTGACAGCAATTCGCCCCAGAGCCTTACACAAGCTAGACCACTAAATTAGTGCCTTCTTTGTTTTTCCTCTTGAAACAGTGTTTTGGTACAGGCATGTGCCACTATGCCGAGCTCTTAAAACACTTTCCTAAAATCATTGCAAGAAATGGTAAAATCCTGGCACTTACTCAGAGTCTTCACTTCTTTTTTTTTTTTTCCGGAACCGGGGATTGAACTCAGACCCTTGTGCTTGCCAGGAAAGCGCTTATTCCACTGAGCCATCTCCCCAGCCCCCAAGAGTCTTCACTTCTAACCACCACGTGGAGCTGCCTCTCTGGAGCACTGTGAAGTGCACACAGGGCCACCCCTGAAATGGCCTTTGTCCTTGCCCTTTTCTTATTTCTGCCAGCACAGGATTAGCTTAACTTATTGGCATTTCTCTTCTCTGCTCTACAATCTCCTACCTGCTGTCCAAATTTCTTCTCTTCTCCTACTCAAACTACATTTTCAATGTTGTCAGATGAATTAGTTTAAAGAATGGATATGATTCTATTATTTTTCTGCTTAACAGCCATCAGCAGGCTCTTATCGTTTCTGAAAGTGTAAGTGAACTCTCTGCCTTGGCTATCAGAGCTCTTCACAATACAGCTTCAACTTACTACTGCACCTTTTTATTTGTCTCAACTCACACAGATGGATTGGAGTGTGCTTAGGTGAGCACGGGAGTGCTTCTACCGTCTGTGTTCAGAAGGTGTCTGCTCTCCGACGCCTTCCACACAGCTGCGAAGCTGCCTCACCAGCGCGTCCCCTACGAGGCTGCCCCTTCACATGTGCCTGTTCTGTCCTTAGCTCACCCGTAGCCTTCGCCTTTCCCTACTTTGAATGATGGTGACTTATGGGCTCATCTTACTTTGCTTCTACAGCATGATATCTCTCAGGGCAACAACTGTGCTCTGTGCTAACTCCTACAGTACCTCATAACAAAAGCATGCACACAGTAAATCAGCAGCAAAATTTTCAACGAGAACTGAATATAGAGGCTAGTTACCTTAATTCTCAACATGAGCAAATGATTAAAAAATTACGTATTTCTTAAAACAAAAAACCCTATATGAAATAAAGTTAATCTTTAAAACTGTGAAGGTGCTAAAACATTTGGGAATCTAGTGAGTGATGAAGGTTAAAACTTTCCAAAAAAGAAGAATGCAGATGAAATCCTAACTCTGTCCTTCAAGATGAAAAAATGTGTCCCATGTGCCTAGGCACAAGCACAGAGAAGACCACTGGCTGACGGGGCATTACCTTGGCCACTGTTTGTTCTGCGATGGTGCTAGGCCTGCGCTGGCGCCCATCAAGTCTCTGATCCACGGGAAAGCTGCTCCTATGGGACTTCAGGCGTTCCACCAACAAGAAGTAGATGGCGGCGAAGTGGTTGTAGCTTTTGTTTTGTAAAGACTGAAAGAGAAAAGCAGCAGTGAAGGCGTGGAACTACAAGAATCAGTCCAATGATCGATACATTTCTCAGACTGGGGAGAAAAGCCACATGTGCTCAAAATAAAGCACCAAATGCTTCAAAAAGAAAGCTGCTCTAAAATTTAGTG